GTCTGCAACATGACCTTGGATGAGTCACTCCACCTCTCTGTGCCTCTGGCTGCCGTTTGCCTAATTAGACCAAACTATTTGTTGTGAGGGCTGCATCTAACTACAGATGAGTTTGGCAGGTAGCACAACTGGTTATCCATACTGCCAAAAGCCATCCAGCAAAACTGGAGCAGAGAGCAACTGCGGCCAGTCACTCGCAGAAGCACTGGGTTCAGACAGAGCCAAAAAAGGCTGCAGGAGTAGGAGGCTCTCAGCACCAGCCTCATTTGCTCAGTCATCTGTGTCACACATGGATTCCCAAATTCACCAAAGCATTTCTTTCAGGGAGCCCGAAGGTGTATCTCTAAGCCAGATACAAGCATTTGTCTTTAACAGCATATTCAATAAGCTTCTCTCTACAGCACTTAAGAGTGAGTAATTAAGGGAAATACTGCTGCAGTAGAGCTTCTCATTAGCAACCTAATTAGCCTTCTGAAAATAATTAACATTCCTTTCTATAAAGGGAACAGATGACCCATTACATCCATCAAACAAGCAAAACAAATAACAAAGGTAAGGGAGATTTGCTTAGAGAGACAGCAAGAGAAGCAGCCAGAAGCAGGACCAGAAAAAATGAAGAATGAAGACAAGGCACAAATGCCCGTGACTCCCAAAGACTGGACAAATGCCCGTGACTCCCAAAGACTGGACTATGCAGGTGGATGTGTGGGACTGCATAACCGTCTGATGTGTGCATCTAGAATTCACATTGAGCACCTTCTTTCCTCTATGACTCCACTGATAATCCATCAGCTGAGATGCTGAAAAATTCTGCACTCCAACTTAGTTTGAAAGTGAGATTTAAAGGCTCTAAAATTCAACGACTCAGTCATAAGCAGCTCTCTCCATATGCAAAAATTCCCCAAAGGTGTTTTGACTATTAAAACACTCTCAAAATGCCCATTAAAATAAACCCTGATTTAATGTCACATACAGCCCATTTCTGTGGCCTAGAAGTGAGGCGATGGCCATGAACAGCAAGAAGTACACCTCTCCAAGTTTCACAGCACACCCCGAAAGAGTTAGGCATAGGTTTCTTGATCAGTGCATGTTCCAAATTGGTGTGGGTGAGCAGAGAGTTGCAGGCATCAGTGTTGTGGGATGTGTGTGTATGTACAGATGAGAGAAAGCAAAGGATACGTGTCAGCCTGGTGCAGCAAGAACCATGGCATTACGACAGTTTGCTGCACTGTTTCAGGGTAGGACAGCAGACAAAAGAGAAATAAGCCATAATGGAGCTGAATTTCCCAACATCCACATATTCAGGTAACATAGCAAGCATAACTCATGAACATGCAGTTGCATTTTCAGACATTTCCATGTTTGATGTACATTTACATTTCCCTGGCAGGAGAACTGAATACTCATAGCCTTCAAGTGTGATTGCAGTGAGGGCGAAGCTCAACCGTACAAAAGCTTCCACAGCTACATCACTATGGAAACCACAAATCCACCGCCTGCTCTGTTTGTCTACTTCTTTCACCGATTTAAAGTGGAAGTATTCTACTTCATCATTTCCTCACTTCTGTCAAGACCACAGGAGGACAAACACATTTTACCTGCTTCAGGACAAACCCTTTCTTCCTTGAGAGCCCCCTTTATTAAACCTGCCCCACCTCTCAACCCAGCTGGGCAATCTGTCCCCCAGGATGCTTCCACCACTTCTTTCAGTGAGGACTCAAACACAGTCTGGGATTTTATCTTAGCCTCCACAGCTTCCCTAGGCTTCTGGACTAGGACAGCTCCAAAGGTAGCTCTCTCTAGGCCAAATCCAGCTAGCTGGCATAATGAGAAGATGACTGTTCTGGAAACAAGTCTTGTCTTGACTGAAATACCATTCACTTTCTTTCCTCAAAGCTTTTTAAGAACATTTGAAGTGCTCTCAAAACAGGGTAGGGCACATTACAAGACAGCTGTAAATCATAGAATCATAGGATGGTCCAGGCCAGAAGGGACCTCCAAAGGTCATCTAGTGTGGCCTCCCCGCAGTCAGCAGGGACACCCCCAACTAGACCAGGTTGCCCAGGGCCTCATTAAGCCTCACCTTGAATAAATCCAGGGATGGGGCCTCAACCACCTCCCTGGGCAACCTGTTCCAGTGCTCCACCACCCTCACAGTAAAGAACTTGTTCCTAATCTCCAACCTAAATCTGCTCCCCTCCAACTTAAGCAATTGCCCCTCCTCCTGTCACTGCAGGTCTTTGTAAACAGGCTCTCCCCAGCCCTCCTGTAGGCCCCCTTCAGGTACTGGAAGGCTGCTATTAGGTCTCCCCAGAGCCTCCTCTTCTCCAGGCTGAACAACCCCAGCTCCCTCAGCCTGTCAAGGGTTAAACTTTTACTGTAAGAAGTCCATCATTTCTGCAGCAGTTGCTAGTTGCAGACAGCTGTTCCTACACTAAAAGTCTGAGTATCTCTCAGCAAAAGCCTAATACCAAGAGCAACTCAGGAAGATACAGAAGGAAAATGGCTAAAAATGCTCAGCAGCCTACAATATGGCATGCATGGCACAGCCCAGGTACATAAAATGGCTGAAGGAATCTTCACGCCAATCAGCAGGAGGAAAAAAAAAAAGAGAGTAAAAAACCCTCCACATTCAAGTATGTGCATTTTATGCTGAGGAACTGCTTCTGAACAAACCTTCTGAACAAACCTTCTCTTACACTGGCCACCTCTTACCTGAGCTCAGAGCAGTTCATGGAAGAATCAGAGGGGAGTTTAGTCTCTGCTGCCTCGTAAGTTCTCAGTGAGTCTCAACTTCAGCTGCCAATCAAGAACCATTACACAAACAAATGCCCACTAGTAAACAAGTTGAAAAAAACTTACATATTTCACAGACATTCCCAAATAACCATTTAAATACAACCCTCTCCACTGAAGCACTCTGCACGAAGAGAAAAATCCTGTCTGTGCTGAGAGAACTTTTAGCAGATGACGCTTTGGCATCTCAGCAGACAGAGCTAGGAACAAACTGACATAGTGTAAGTTCTCCAGCAAATCCCAAAGCAATGCTACACAAAAGGCACAGCCTCCCACCTCCCTTTTACAAAATGGACCAGAGCTGTCAGTGCTTCCATCTTGATCCTAACTCATTGCCCTCACCTCACAGCCAGCTCCAGGCTGTCTTTACCAAACACGTCCCAGGTTCCTTGGCGGTACAAGAGCTCCTACCAACAGCCCACAGAACAATCAAAGGTTACTTCTGCGTCCTCAAAGATGCCAGAACAACAACGCACAAGCAGCTTCATGGAGGACAAGCTGAACTGAGTGGTGATCACAGTCTGCAGGGTTGTATGGACGTGGTTTTGGAAGCAGACTGTCTGCTGGAGATGTGGACAGATATCCTGAACAGCCTGAGTGGATGGAACATACAGGAGGTATTGGAGGAATGAATAATTCATAGTCTTGTTCTGCTGCCAATGGATCTATGTTTTCTTGTGCCCATATGGAGCTCAGTTTTTGTTTTAACAGTAATAGGAGACGTCTGCACTTTCTTTGATGGTTCTTGAGGGCAGGTGATAAGCAGCGTTTGCTCTGCTCGCAGCAATAGTACCATACACCAGAGCGCTTGCCAGACACAGCTTTCTTCAGAAGTACTCATGGCTGCATCGTTGACAAAATGGCTGGACTCATTCCAAGGCTCAGTCCATCACCAGCAGCCTCCCCGGGAAGCTGCTGACACTTGCTTTGTCATAACCTTGCAGCACTGGTCTGGACTTTACTGCTCAGTATATGACACCGACCAACTGAAGCCCTGTATTGAGATACACAATGAGCAGGATCCTTCAGAGCTCAAGGCCGCCGCTGACCCTGCTTACCCACAGTTAGCACTGCCACAATTAAGTCTACTGCTTTCCTTCAGGTGCTGACTGGGTCTGCTCCCCAGTCCCAGAGAGGCACAGGGTCTATCAGAGCAAAAATACCTAACAGAAGTGGGACAACAGAATACAATAGCACAGGATCTCTTGGCCACTACCATTAAGAGAGGGTAATGAAACCCCTGAGATGGGATAGGCAGAGAGAGGAAGATGCTACACAAATCTGAATTTCATATATGTAGCACCTACATATTCAAAGCGAGTTCCCAGTTAGAGATAAAGTACTGTGCATGACCTACCCATGAAACCTTATCCGCAATAAGGAAATACAATAGGGAAAACAATACTGTAGCCTGAACTGCTGCAAGCTGTATCAGAGCACCTGTGCTTATCTTCCTGTCCGGGCACCTCACCACACACTGCAGACACACAGAGCGCTCTGAAGATGCTGCAGGGTCTGGAAACTGTCGTTCTGGTCCCACAATGTCCAGTCCATCTACCAGTATCAATATAAAGTTTCACTCCAGGATATAAATCACCCTTCCAATTTGATAGTATTTTACATCCACTCCACAAGCGTCACAGACTGCCACAGATACAGGAGAGCGAGCAAGATGAGCCTAAAAAGATTAGTAGAGTAACACACTGGTGAATCAGATCCACAGACTGCACTGCTCGTTAGGGCCAGGAATAGATTCCTCATCATCCAACTCACACCTGTGCTTTTAACACCGGAGAGAGCAACCCTCTGCACTTTACCTACTGCTCTGGTTTAGCTCACAGATACTGTTCCACTGTCCTGATTGTTTTAAACTACCTAAGGTTATCAGAGTGTGAGGTTTTAAAGAGACAATAACACTGGAATAAGTTTGGCAATGTAAATTACGAGCAATCAGAACACTGACTCAAAGCAGACAGAAATCAAGGGCAATGTGTACGAACGGTGATCTTTCTTACGCTTCTGGAAAGCAACTTGCAGTTTGAACCAGTGGAAATAACTCCACATCTTGACCATCCTTTATGCACTCTACATGTTTAAATTTCAAAGGTCCCATCTACAACGCAGTCAGTGCTGTACTCAGAGAACTGCTTTGGTTTTCTGGTCTACGAGTGCACCCCCGCTGGTCTTAACCTCCAGCCCCTTACCTTTTCCGGGGAGGAATCCTGGAGCTCTCCCACTTTTCGGTCAGCTCCTGGTTCACAGCATCCGCGGGTCAATCGAGTTGCCTCCAGCAGGTCCAAGCCGTTTCAGACACCAGCTGTTTTCAGACCAGGTGCGTGTGACCGACAGCTAATACACCAACCAGACAGCTTTCCTAAACCAAAGAAGTACAGTTTCAGCTTAGTGAAGTGCAGTACAAGACAGGCTTTAAACACAGGAAGAACTCTATGTATGGAGAGCTTAGCTCTGGTACATTGGGCGCTGTAGGACCTGACTTCTTCAGAGCCCCAGGCAGCCTGTACCTGCTCCTCACCCAGGGCGGCTCCCTGGCAGCTGCCTCTCCTCTGGTGAGGCTGAGCCTTCTGTCTCTTCCCTGTCCTCCTGGATCCCGGCCACAGCAAACACACAGAGCAGCTTCACTGGAGCCAGTGACCAAAGGTTCCTCACTCTACCATCTGAGCCAAGAGCTTGGTTAACCCTTGAAGGGTCTACCAGAAAGTGTTTTACTTCTATTTTCCTGGCTGATACCCCAGTTTTTGAAGCAATCCTCACTGCTCGCTCCTTTTCCTCCCCATCCTCCCTCTCCTAATGTTGCCTCCCTATCTCCTCCACCTCCTCTACTCCTCTCTTCTCCAATCACATTTCTCCCTTCCTCACTCCGGGACAGAGCGTGGCCTTCATAAGCAAGTCCTTGCCACTGCCACCCACGTGCCACCCCAGCCTGTTCCTGAGGTCACTGTCACTGCCTCTTCCCCTGGCTCTGGTGACCCAACTGCCTTTCCCCTCCGTGTTGGGCTGCGTGACCCGAGCAAGCAGAGCCCATCACCTTGGGCTATACTGCTCTTTCTCTTCAAGCGCTCACGTTTAGGATGCCACGCTCCCGGTTTTCCCAGAAGTCACACCTCAAGGTGCCAGCTCCAACACACAAATATCTAACATCGTACTGGCGTCAGCCTCACAGATCTTACACTCCGAGGGCTTGTCTATACATAGCATTTTTCTGGATTAGTTGCATGTGAAGAAGTTACAGAGCAAGAAGAGTGTCAGACTGTGTAACAAATGGGATCTTCACAGTATCCTAATGAATCACAGAGATTTTGAACACCAAAGTCCAACAGGAATTCCAGAGGCATGCTTTCCTTAAAAAACAAAATCAACCTACACTGTTTTTATTTAGATAACACTAAACAACAAAAACACTCCACTTAAAAATGCAGATTAAATAACTAATCCTCACCCAACAAAACCTTCCCACCAAGATTAACAGAGTGATGAATAGCATAAAACCACTAATTAAATCAATGTAACATGGGTATTACAGAGACACATTTAGCACCTTCTGCCTATGAACTGAGGCTTGCATCTATTGAGAAATAATTTAACAGCTAGGTATTTGTACATCAAATTGGGAAAGAACTCGGTCATTAGCTAGCTCTGGTATAAATTATTGTAAAATGTATGTTACTGAAAATTAGTTGCATGTGTTCTATTTTCATTGTATGTATTTTGTCACAGTTGGATATAGGTTTCTACTGAACTATTTATCAGATGCACACAAACAAATTTTTATAAAGCATTTCCCTAGAATCGCAACGCTGAGAACACTTTTCTTCAGTCAGATCTGTAATTTGCTTTGTAAAGGAGCGAGGAACAAAACCACACAAAACAAATAACTGCAACGTACTCCCAACTTCTTCACTGCACCAGTTAGAACATTACAAAAGGCTTCAAGCCAACCTAACTTTAGGGCAACACAGTCCCGCTCAATTCAGCCCCTTCCCTGGCACCAGCACAGGCCACCCACGGGGCACCACAGCAAGGGAGACTAAGGAACTCATCAGCCCTTTCAGTGCTACCCCCAAAAAGCCTGTTGGTTCTCAGCCATATCACCTTCCTTGATCTGGTTCACCAGCAGGAAGAAGTTCCTTTTTCACAAAAATCTTCCCTTCTGTGAACTTAAAAGTGCTGAAGAAACCATTCCCTTAGTTACACATGTATCTACACTTGGAAGAAAGCGCTGACGAAACTCTTCATTAGCAAAGACTGTGTTACAACACACATGAGCAGACAGGTAGAGCTGAAGGTAAAGGTCTGACCTTAAAGCTCATATGGTTAATACAACGCTTAAGCTGTTCAGAAAAGGGGATTTGGTTTGTGGTGGTTTTTTTTTTTTTTGTAGATAAATGAACCTTCTGTGTTGAAATACTCAAGATTAAAAAGGTGTAATGTTTGTAGGGGAAAAAACATAAAGCCAACAACAGTGGTATGAGCATTCAACTACGTATACAGAAACAGTTAAAAATCCACAATCAGGCCAGATCCAGGCTTCCCTGTCACTGCTGTAAAACAGCACTTGCCCATACTCTGAACATTCCTCTAACACAGACACCAACATTCCTGGTGTCAGCAGGCTGAAGACCACACGTTAGCATAATTTAGCACCAGCATTCATCAAACAAGAATACAAAGAACAAGCAAACAAAAAAGAAAGCAAATTCCTAATCAGGAACTGGTTACTTACGCGTTCCTTCAACTGTCTATTTTAGTACTTACGCTTCTTCACGATTTCAAGAGTGCTCCAAAAAAAGAAAGCTTGGGTCTGTGCATCTTTCTGGTGATAAACTGTCCTACCAACAGAGTCGCAATGCTGTTCAGTGACTTATCTGGGATTCTCCTGGGAAGAAAGTGGCAAATTTGGAAACAGAAAGCAAGCACTTGTCTTTTGAGAAGCTCACCCTGGTCTGACGAGACTTGCACAGAGGATGATGCCGATTTCACTTTCTACTGAAGACCCACCATGCCTTGCCCTGCTGCCTTTCGAACCTGCACGCAGACCAGCTGGGATCTGAACATCAACCTTGTAGACAGAGTACAAAACATGGTAGGTGTGGCGGAATTTCCTTCCCAGAAGGACTGAATTACCCCAGAGAGATACCTAGGGCATGCATTGCTCTACAGTCCCCACCTCCTGAAAAGGAAGTCCTTTTCTTCTGGAACAACAACAACAAAATTGCAAAAACAACTCCAAAAGGCAAAAACTTGCAGGAAAACAAATGATCTCCAAGGTTCAGTGCATCCTTCCCCAGATATCTCTAGGTCAATCCCCTGTCTCTACTGAAAGCTTCTGGCAAAGCCTGGAGAACCACATTGGACCTCCAGAGTTTCAGATTTCTTTAAAAAGCCATGCCACCACCCAACAGCTGAAGAGGCTTGGGCAGATGCCCACACCCCCACGCAACTACAGTATCTGCAAAAGCTTCTGTGGCCATTTATCGCCAAAAGCAGAAATGCCTTGAGAATAACTGCCAAGAGTCTTTATTTTTTGTTGCTGTTATCCTGCAATCTGTCTGTTACCAAAAAAAAAAAGCCAAAAAAAAACCCCCACAAAAAAAAGGCAACAAAACACAAAACAAAACTCGGGTTTCAAACAAACACACAATTAAATGCCCTTGTGCTGCTAGATCTGTCTTGTATTATCAGACTCTTACCTACTTTTTGTCCACATACACACTCCGCCCTGGTTATGTTCCTTCCACTCTGTTCCTGTTAAGGCAATGAAAACGAACCAGCTGGCTTTACACTCAGGTTTTTAAGGCATTACCTGGGCTCTCAACATTTTGAGGCCAACTGGCCACAGTGAGCGCTTAAGATTCCTCACACCTTGACACGCATCCCTGCCATCTACATTTTAACACGAACCTCTTGCCCATTTTCTTATTTTTCATGTCCCAAGAATGGGCTACAGACTACCTTCCATAAGCTAGTGAACCATCAAAGACCCACACAGTTATTTTCTTATATACATTTACATACACTTCATTATTCTAAAGAGCTCATCTAGCTTTTTTTTTTCCCCCTGTCAATTTCAGGTTCTGTGAAGACATTTCTCTGAAACTGGGGTTAAATCTGACCTTGCAATATGGCAGGGTAAGCAGGAGGTGAGTTAAAAAGGAGCAACTCTTACAAAACTCCACCTACACTTACTTTATGAAGAAGTACAGAACACATGTTACATCATGAAAGGAAACTCATTGGCTTTTTGGTAATTGAAGGCAGGGTACCGTTGCCTAGCAACTTATCTGATTACCATTTTTTCAAGTATCACATGCACACTTAGATATGTTGCATAATAATGTCTCACTTTTATGCTGCCTAACCCAATGGAAAAAAAAAAAAAGGGGGGGGGGTACAAAAATTAATGCCTTTAGTCTCTTTTCTGGCAAAAGAGAAAGTACAAGATAGTAGCTCAAAAACAGGTTGAAACATTATTATTCCTGAATTTTATTCCTGCCTTTTCCTGGCTTGCTGAATGTGCTTATACAAGCATTTTATTTTATCTACTTGTCTGCAAAATGACACTAATAATACCAGCCTCACAGAGACACACTGAAAATTCATTAAGAACAGAGAGATTCTCAGATGAAAGACGCAGTGGAAGTGCTGGTGTTAGCACTTACAGCTTTTTAGTACTCCAAATGCTGCTAAGCTCTGGTCCAAAGCATAGCAAATTTTAATCATTGTCATGACATTGTCCAGTCCTTGTTTCTCAAACAAGGATCTCAAACCACGAAAACTACATTTCTCCCATCAGAATGTGACAGTTTCCTGTCTTCTGCATCTCACAAAGCTGGGAACAGAAAAAAGAAAACAAAAAAGCACACACCCCTTGCACCCCAGACAGATGGTAGCGTACCCCCGCTTGATACTGGAGCATTATTGCAGTGCTTGGAGCTCATACCGTGAAAATCAGAGGTGAATCAGAACATGTGCATACATGACATTTTTAGACAGCAACATGCTGTACTTGCTGATCTGCTCTTTGAAACACTAATTACATTCTAGCTAATCTATGAAAGAATTAAGTGTTCAGTTGCCTTTATGGTGAGCAGTAATACCTGATAATACCAGCATTAAACTGAGGCATTGTTTCCAAAGGGATAAAATTATCTAACAGGATAAGTGGAGTTTTTGCACATCCACAAGTTATATGCTAATATAATATAATATACTGCCTACTTTATATATGCACCTGAGTCTCCCATTGCACAGAACACGCTCAGCTGCCCAGAGCACCCCCGATACCGTGCTAGCCTGTCAGCTGAAGTGACTGAAGCTGATGTTTTGGAAACTCAGTCTCTCATCTCCATGGTAAAGCATCAACCGGCAAAAGAAAACTGAAAGCAACAACAGCCAAGCTCTACATTGCTAAGGAATCGTGACATTACCTTCACGGCGGCTCCTCTCTTCCTGGTAGACATCAGAGCATTTCTATAAACTCTGCCCTACATCCTGCAGCTCTTGTGCAAGACCACTTCCAATTAGAAGCTTAATTGCAAGATCTGCCTAGGAAAGAACTGCTGGATCAAAATAAACCAAATCACATGATATCTATCATGCCACTAGGGGAAACTATATACACATCTTGAAAACACCAGAAATCACAAAAAGAAATAACTCTCCCTCTAGAACTTACTGGAAGCATCCTTACCAAATACAAAGAAAATACATGGGCCAAAGAGCGCCCCATGGATTAAGCAAGCCCGGCTTGGCTAGTTTGGTTGGCGGGAGAGGGAAACAGCCACGTACACCACTATCATCAGGCACTCTCTGCAGCAAGCAGCGAGAAACCACTCTACTTAGAGCTCTGTGCAGACACAGTCCCAGACAAGGCTTCTCAGCCCAGATTAGGCTGGTGGAACCAAATGAGTTTGACTGTCATCAGGGTGAAAAAAAACCCCACAAAACAGACTCCCTGTTCCCAGAAGGCACTTAGCAGCACACACAGCACTATGCCACAGCTACCCAACGCTAAAGAGAGAGCTTCCTCCTTCAGAAATACTTTGTCGTCTCCTTCATGCTCCTGGCAGAGTCAAGGAGAAGGGGACAGAAAGATGCTTTGCAGAAGTCCTTCACATAGGCTACCTTCAATACATGGCGCACCTGAGAGCAAAGATCCAGCAAGGAAGGAGTCAAACAGCAGCTTCACCACTCTGTGCTATCAACACTTACCTAATGACTACTAATGCTTGGATCTTATGCAATGAAGGCAGGACAGCAAGCACTTGTGGTCGGGAAGATTCCCCCTAGTTGTCTAATCCAGCTTTGCCAGAAGCCTGTGAGGGCGGGGGAGTTTTGAAATAAGGATGTGGCAAACTCTCGTGTGCTGACACTAATAAAAATCCAGAACAAAAGAAAGGGTAACATAAAACCCTTCTCTCTTTCATACAATGATTAGATACCTCAGAACTAGTAAATGATAGGTGTTCTCATTCAGATATGCCTACAAACAAATCTCTACAGCAATCTCACTTTTATTTAGCCTCTAAGGCCATGTTAAAGAGCAGCATGCACCTGTAAATACATGTGGTTTACACTTGCTGTAGCTGGGCTGCGAGGTGCTCGGGCTCTGGCTGGCACTAGACATTATTGGGTGTATCGTTTACAACCAGGAATGTAGCACTCTGACTAACCAGAAAGAGCACGTTGTTCCCAATTGGCACAGATGTGGGTAATCTGCTCCTGCGGAGCCAAAGCCTTTGCCCAGCCTGGCTTTCTTTCAGGAATCTTTCTGGTTGCCTGCACAACCACCTTACCCAGGAGCTCAGAAACCATCTGGATACTCCCCCCTCACGTACCGTCACCAAAACGTGACAAGCAGACCAGTTTATTTCTGACGTACGAGGCAAACCAGCCCTCTGCTCCCCCACCCAGTCTGCACTGAGCCGGCAGAGCTAGGAGCAACCACCGCGGTCAGGAGATAAGAGTCACCAGAGAATACCGAAATACATACAGGAAGCGGATCTGAGAAGTAAAAGGGGATCATTTACAAACCCACACCAGCAAGCCACAGGCAGATAATACCTTCTATGTTGGAAAACATTAACGACCTAGAAGATCAATCTTCTTTCAGAAGTAAGGAAAAATGCCACACCTCATCCTTCACAGCAGGCACATTTTATTTGGGAAGAGAACTCCCACTCGTATTGTTCAACTTCACATCTTTCCCCCCAGATCCAACCCAGGATCACCTTTGTTGGACACTGCTTCATTTGTAGCTACACAGGAACAGGCAGGACAGAAGGGACCACAGAGAAGTTTGCTCAGGTGCCATTTCCCCATCTGCAGGACACAGCTCTGGCATCTGAAAGCTTGCCAAGATACTGCAACTGCCCGTGGAGGTGGGCAGCGCTTCCCACAGAAGGAAGGTGAGGAATGGGAACAGAGGCTTTTCCTGCCTCCTGCCGACAGACAATTTCTCTGAGTAATTGACCCATTTTGTACAGAATAATTAGCCCACGGGAATGAAGCACTGCTGCCCTTTAATTAGTCATGTTGTTACCTCTCCAGTCTTAACATGTAATAGCAGGCTGCCTAAGACTCAAAAAAGAAACAAAACAAAACAACAAAACAACTTAATTTCATTTTCTTAATCATGGCATTTATTAAAGGCAATCTAGAAACAAAGAATGCTAAGGTACAATTGTCAACGATAAAGTTTCCCATTACTTCTATGATTTCATCA